AAAAAAAAAATCACATCAATTATGAGAGGTTATTTCTGGGGTGAGTTAAGTGGGAAGTGAGAAGGAGAGGCAGAAAAGGGACATGGACTTTCTCTGAAATACCAACTTTCCAAAAATAAGATCAAGACAAAATGTTAACTTTATTAAATACCAATGGTAGGTACACAAGTATTTGTTATATTATTCCCTTTTTTTCTGTCATTGGAAACTTTTAAGATAGAACAAAAATTATGAGTGGTGCAAAACACAAGAATAAAAATCGATCATCTTAAAAGCAAAGGCAGGTCCTCCCTGGTGGCACAGCGGATTAAAGCACAACATTAAGAAGCTAAAGCCACTTCAGCATGAATTCAATCCCTGCACCAGAGGTGACCCACATGGCACAGCAGACCTCTCCTCACCGACCTGCTGTACTTGGACAGTCAGCCTGTTCTGCTCCCCACTTTGGTGAATCCTCTCAATGCCCCTGACCTCTGGCCTGTACCCCAGTTCTGTATGCATAAATAAATCTTAAAAAAAGCAAAGACATTTCACCTTTCTACCCATGGACACCCTGAGCATCACTAAAGTCTTCCCTCACATCACCATAATATCTAAATCAGTCTCTGAAGGTACCCAAGTAGCTACGAAAGCTGTTCAGGGGCAGTGTGTGCTTTAAAACAGCCAATGAGAGTCAGCAGGGATTCTCAGTGCACAATGGGGACTGCTCACAGCTTGTGTGACATGGGAGATGCAAACATTAAGTGCTCCAGAGGCTTTGGGTTTGTTACAGATGTAACCTGAAGGATTAGGTGCACCCATGAATGCAAGGTGACAAAAGGTAGATGGAAGAGTTGTAGATTCAAAGAGAGTTTACCTCAAGGGAAGATTCTCCCAGACCTGATACCCACTTAACTTTGAAAAGATTTTGTTGGTGGCATTAAAGTGATATATTGAAGAATATTATCTAAAAATTCTGAGCACTGGGAAAATTAAAGTGACTGAAATCATGACTGACAGAGGCAGTGGTCTTGCTTTTGTAAACTTGGATGACCATAATAACTCCACAGACAAGGCTATTAATTCAGAAACATCTTATTATGAATGGCTGTGAAGTAAGAACAGCCCTATCTAAAAGAGTAAGTGCTTCAGCCAGTCAAAAAGATAACTATGGAAACTTTGATGGTGGCCATGGAGGTGGTTTTGGTAGGTAATAACAATTCTGATCATGGAGGAAATCAGTGATCTATGTTGGCTTTGGTAACAGCTGTGGTGGATATGGTGGCAATAAAGATAACTAAAATGAACTGGGCAATGATGGAAGAATTTTGGAATTGATGGAAGACACATGATTTTGACAATTACAATAATCTATCTTCAAATTTTAGACCCATGAAAGGAGGAAATTTTGGAGTAGCTCTGGCCCCTATGGTGATAGAGGCCAATACTTTGCCAAAACACAAAACCATGGCAGCTACAATGGTTCCAGCAGCAGCAGTAGCTATGGCAGTGGCAGGAAGTTTTAATTCTACTAAGAAACAAAGCACAGCAGCCACACAAGTTATAAGGAAGCATCAGGATGCAACAGATTTGAGAATCCAGCCAAGCACTGTGATGGCAGGTATTTGAGACCACAAAGAAAACATTTATTAGGTAACACACATATAGATGTGTGGGGGTTGTATTTGAGGGCTGTATTTGTGACTAACTGTATAACAGGTTATTTAAGTTTCTGTTCTGTGGAAAGTAGAAAGCATTCCAACAAAGAGCTTTAATGTAAGATTTTTTTTCTTTCTCCATGCCGTTGATGAAAAATGTTAACAGTCTGATCATAATGCTGAATAAAGTTTCTCAAAGTAAAACTAATTTTCCTGCTTTGTCACAGATATTTTTCCAATTCTCATTAGATATTTCTTTTTAAAAGTAGTACCAATCAAGACAAACATTGAAGAGAAATGTCAAATATACTTCGTGAAATTTCTTTGCCAAGCATAACATTGTTATTTATTGTTCCTATTAAGTTTCCTATTGAGTGAACTTCCTTTAATTATTAACCCAACTCTATATTCCTCAAGGCTATTATTAGTTTAAAACTGAACTAATTTTATACTCAAGAAGCACAAAAAAATCTTTAAATTACACTTAATTATGAAATTCATCATATAAGCAGTACAACAATCATTGAAGGTAAATCTAACACAAAACATTTTTTTTTGAACACTGGTTACTAGCTCCCTTGAATCAAAGGTTATTTAAAAGGAAACCTTAACCACAATGAGATACCACCTCACCCCAGTGAGAATGGCACATCTTCAAACAACTAGCAACAACAAATGTTGGCAAGGATGTGGAGAAAAAGGAACTCTCCTGCAATGCTGGTGGAAATGCAAATTAGTACAACCACTATGGAAAACTGTTTGGAGGTTCCTCAAACTGCTAAACATGGAGCTTCCCTATGACCCAGCAATCCCACTCCTAGGTATCTACCCAAAAGACACAAAAACACTGATTCAAAAAGATACCTGCACCCCCATATTTATTGCTGCTTTATTTACAATTGGAAAAACATGGAAGCAGCCCAAATGCCCAAAAGTAGATGACTGGATAAAAAAGATGTGGTACATATATACAATGGAATATTACTCAGCAACCAAAAAAGAGAAACACATGTCTTTTGCAGCAACTTGGATGGAGCTGGAAAAGATCATGCTTAGTGAGCTGGAAAAGACCATGCTTAATGCTTCACATTTGTTCAGGAATATTGTAACTCCTAACATTAGTATTATATGAAAAGACAGAAAGCTAAATTTTTTCAGTTTTCACAGTTGATGCTAACTGAAAAACTTGTACAAGAGACAACATGCAAAAACTGAACATATCCTATAGCTCAAAAAGTACCCCCATAAAGTTTAAGTACTTCTAATATTACATATCAATGTACAGATTTCTATCATAACTGATCATTTTAAACAATAAAAATCAGGCCTCCTTGGTGGTGCAGTGGGTTAAAGCACAGCACTGAGAATCTAAAGCCACTTCTGCATCTATGAGTTCGATTCCCGCCTGCCCCGGAGGTGACCACATGGCACGGCAGACCTCTCCTGACCCGCCTGCTGCTCCCCTCAGCAGTGTACTTCATCGATCTGCCTGTTCTGTTCCCCACTCTGTCTCTGGTGAAGCCTCTCACCGCCCCTGAGCCTCTGGCCTGTACCCCAGTTCGGTATGCACAAATAAATAAATCTTAAAAAATAAATAAATAAAAATAAAAATCAATGGGCAAAATTACTTACTTTTTACAGTTCATATGTTAAAGCAAAAGGTGTCCATATTACAGTATTACTGGTAATATAATCAACACTAATAATATAAAGAGCAATTCAGACTATATATATAAAATCACACCTATTTGGAAACAGCCATTATACCTCAATTTCAATGCTTATGGCACATGCATTAAACACACAAGGACCCACACAAACAAACTCACCATGTACATTGGGGACCCACACAGTGTTGCAGCCATCATATTACTCTGTAGGTAACGAGCAAAACCAAAATCCGCTATTTCACATAATAAAAAAGAGAAAAATAATTGATACCTTTGCACATACTTAACATTGACCATATATATGATTCTTCAAGACACAAGAGGGCACAAAAGTACAGTGAAAATCTAACAGCATTTTGAATAACATGTCCACCAAAGAAGACAGTAGACCTCAATTTCAACAAGCTAAGAACTAGTAGTAATCAGCAACTATCCAATTCACTGTTCTGCCAGTTTTGTAACCAACGAGCACCAAGCTTTGCCAGAGAAAATGCTAATTATAATTGATTAATTAATTCAACTCTCACTAAATACCAGGCAAAAATTTGAAGTGCCTTTTTCCCTTTCTAGATACCAGATGTGAACTATCAGAAATTTCTTAAAAGTATCGATAGAAGTTTTTCCTAACAACTGCTAAGGAAAAATTTAGCATTGCAAAATGCTTCAAATAATGTTGATACAAGAGTGCTAAAAAAAAGAAAATTGTCAAATTAGAAAGCTAAACTAAACAGTATCTTAGATGCCTTATGTTCAAATCTCAAACTGTAAAGAATCAGGGTTATTGATTTGCTGCCAACAACTTAATACTTAAGCTTCCCTTTGACAAGAAGCAGGATATAATGCTGGGATTCATGTTTAGATTTCCTAAAATAGGCACTTAAGTCCTGTCTAAGATTTAGCACATTCTGTGAATAATATAAAGGAGTCATATCTTAAGGTACATCACTGAACTCAAAATACACCAATAAGATTCATCAAACCAACAAAGATGAATTAAAATTATTTTAAAATAGTCTCAAAAATGTCCTTGGTATGAAACAATATATGGCCACATATACCTATTTTGATGCGAATACCACTGACACTTGACTTTCTGCGATTGGCGTAAGAGAGCAAGATGTTCTGTGGTTTGAGATCCCTGTGGATTATTCCTTTGCTGTGCAGAATTCGCATGGCAGCTGCAATCTGATGCAGAAACACTCTGATGGTATCTTCACTGAGGGTTCCTTTAGCTATTAGAAAAGGAGGCACATAAATATTTAAGCACACAAAATCAAATACCATCTGCATATGTCATCAACAGAACGAGTTTGTTAAAGAGAAGATGGGAGGGCCTAGAAACAAAGATTCATAACTCTTCACTTTTTTTACTTGAATGATTTAAACCTAAGAGATATTAGTTTAAAATTTTAATCAACCTATTGTAAAGAAACCAATTTGAAATTGGTTTTTCCAGTTATTTTTCCTCTCATTTTTATTGTAGAAAATACCCACACTGCTCTGATACAGTAAGTTAAGTCTCCTTAAAAAGGTAAAAAATAAGTTCCTCTTCATATTAGTCAAATATCTGGAATACAGGAGGTTCTTACATAATTCCAACTGTTACATGAGTGCAAATTAAAAGCATGTGAAATCTCTGGATATTACTGTCACCTGTACCTATCAAGGATCTGTGTTGCCACAGATTTCTTTAACCTCTTCTATTATCCCAATACCCCTACCCCATCACAGTATCTTTCATAATCAAAAGAAATCTTTGAGTAGGAATATCTTGTGTCTTCTACTATAAAGAAATAGTATGAACAACTGAGAGTAGTCATTTTCAGTAAATATAACAGTATGTCTGTACATATGCTGAAGCATATAATGGTAAATAGTTTGGAGTCAGACTTTTAATCATATCCCAGTTACCCCACTCACTATGTGACCCTGGAAGACTTGATTCCTCTGCGCCTATCTCCTTATCTACACAAAGCTTAAATCAGACTAATCATGTGGTTTTGTTGTATTGATGATCAAATAAAATAATGCATTTAATAATAAAGACTTAAAAAGTACTGGCACTAAAAAGTACTTAAATGTGACCCTCCCTAGTGACGCAGCAGGTTAAAGCACAGAACTAAAAAGCTAAAGCCACTTCAGCATGAGTTCAATGCCCACCCCAGAGGTGATCCACATGGCACAGCAGACATCTCCTGACCCACTCACTGCTCCCTTCAGCAGTGTACTTCATAGATCCGCCTGTTCTGCTCCCCACTCTGTCTCTGGTGAATCCTCTCACTGCCCCCGCACCTCTGGCCTATACCCCAGTTCTGTATGCATAAATAAATAAATCTTTAAGTACTTAAATGTAGTAAATACACAAATGTAGCAAATACACAAATGCAAACTTTTTTATTATAGAGAATCTGAAAGTCACAAGTGTTATTATTCGAGTAATACAAATCAAGATCACAATGAAATACAATCCCACACATGTAAGAAACAAGAAGTACTGGCTACGATGTGGAGAAAAGGGAACCCTCCTATACTGCTGGTGAGAATACAAACCAGCACTTATGGAGAGCAGTATAAAGGTGTCTCGAAATATTACATGTGGATATGCCATTTGACTCAATAATTCCACTCCTAGGCTTTATCTAAAAAATTCAAAATACTAACGCTAATCCAAAAATTCATTCATTCCTATGTTTACTACAGCACTATTATATAGCTCAACAATGGAAACAACCAAAGTGCCCCAGGACAGACTGGATCAAAAAGATATACAGTAGAATACTACTCAGCAATCAAAAAGATAAAATTCATGCCTCTTATGGCAACATGGATGGAGCCTAAAGGATAATGTTAAGTGGAATAAGACAAGGGGAAAAATAAATACTGGATAGTAACATTAACATGTGGACTATAAGGGCCTCCCATGGCACAGCTGACCTCTCCTGTCTTGCCTGCTGCTGCCCTCAGCAGTGTATTTCAGTAGATCAAACTGTTCTGCTCCCCACTGTTTCTGGTGAATCCTCTAACGACCCCCCAACCCCTGCAACTCTGGCATACACCCCTGCTCTTGTATGCATAAATCTTTAGAACTATGTGGGCTTTAAATTTTATAGGAAGCATATTTTAAAAAGCAGAAACAGGGCCCTCCCTGGTGGCATAGTAGGTTAAAGCACAGAACTAAGAAGCTATAGCAACTTCAGCATGAGTTCAAGCCCCGCCTCGGAGGTGATCCACAGGCATGGCAGACCTCTCCTGACCTGCCTGCTGCTCCCATCAGCAGTGTTCTGACTGTTCTGCTCCCCACTCTGTCTCTGGTGAAGCCTCTCACCGCCCCCACACTTCAGGCCTGTACCCCATAAATAAATAAATCTTTTTTTTTTAAAAAAAAGTAGAAACAGATGAAATTAATTATAGGACTACCACATTTTTTTCCAACTTGTAATCAATAAATAAAAAGTTAATAAGCTATAATCATTCTTTCCGTCCTATGAACTGTTCAAAATCCTTTGGATATTCTACATTAGCACATTTCAATTCAGACTAATCACATTTTAAGAGTTCAAGAGTCCCATAGGGTTAATGGCAACCATATGAATGGTACAGCTCTAGTAAACTCCTTGAGCATCAGATTTATTTTACATGTCATACCACAAGAGTCTCTGAAGGAAAAGACTGCGAAGAGGTAAACAAATCCTAGACAAAAAAATCATATTGCAATTAGGTGATCTAAACAGTGGAACTTAAACTGTTTGCCTGATGCCAGTGTTTGAGCTCATAAGCTCCACACTTTGATCTCCTAACTCTATTGCTCTGGGATATCAAATAGAGTTCAACATCAAAAACAAAACTGCTGTCAAAGCTAACCTAAATCTGCTACACCAGAAAGCGTACCTATATCAGTTCACATGATTTCAGTTAATTAAGAAAGCTGATACTCTAATGAGGGCTCTAACCTGATAAGGTGCTACTCAATCTGACCCAAGCTGACAGGTGCTTTTATTGAGTCAGTAAGAATGACAAGAAAGTCAAGATTTAGAGACTGAAAAAAGGCAGAAGCAGGGTTGTTTCCTAGTTTCAACTCCTTTCTATTATTATCTATCTCACTGCATTCTATTAATTCGTAAATGGCGCTCTGAATTTTTTTTTTTTTTTTACCAAGTTGATGTTTCTTTTAAAAATCTCAATTGGGTTGGATGTTAAACTAGATTTATTGTGGTGATCATTTCACAATATATACAATCTCATGTTCTACATCTGAAACTAATACAATGTTAATGTCAAATATACTTCGTTATTTAAAGAGTTGCACTTGGGAAAAATACAAATTCAGGTAATAGTCGACGACTCTGAGGGGGAAGAACAGGAATGGGACTTCATAAGGGAACTTCAATTAATAATTACAAGAACTTCAATTGTATTTATAATTTTTTTAAATGGGGGGACAGGGTAATATCAGTGTTCTTTATATTATTCTCCATACAGCTCTTGAATATCAGCAATGTATTTTTACATAGTAAGGACTTTTGATTTTTCATTTTTAATTTTGTTCCTTGATTGTTAGGTGAAACAGAACATTTTTAATATGCTGCTTCTCTTCTGTAAATTGTACATACCTTTTGTGAGTATATCTATTGATGTCTTAATATTTTTGCCATCAATTACCATGATCTATTTATAAGTTAAGCTATTATCTCTCTGCATATTTCCCTCATATCTTTCAAGTGGTGCACAAGTAGATGTTAGCCTTATCAAACATTATTTAAAACATTACTTTGAAAAGACCTAATTTGATCTGAATTCTTTATATCCTACATGTATATACTTAGAATACAAAAATTCAGTTACCTCTAAGTACTAAAATCTTACCTGTCACAAAATAATTTCAGTGTTATCTTTAATCCTTTAGAACATTTGTTTTTAATATACAAGAAACATTAACATTAATAAACATTCTCAGATATACTCTTCCATTTTCTGGTTTTGTTGAAAGAAATGAAAATGTCTATAAGTTCACTGATGGTAACACAATACAATCTTTTGAAGAGGAGAAGTTCCCTTTGATTTTGTCTAAAAACATTGTCAGTGAGAGTCACACATAAAAATAAGTGCTTATACAAAAGTGTTGGGAACAAAACCACCACAGTTGGTCGCCAAAGTGGCAACAATTAAACAAATACACGAAATTAATTGAATGTTTCTATATAGGCAGAGAAACAGGAAAGTATACTTTAGAGATAACTCTCAGAACTAAACAGACTACCATACTACTTTCACTGCACAATGACACACAAAAATATTACCTTGCAAATAATCTGCCAGGTCTCCACCATTACAATACTAAAATATAAAAGAAAAAGTAAATAAGGAAATTGATTCAAAATTAATGCAATTTATGAACAATTAATTTTAATTTAAAAGATCATTTGTGTATGTAATGTAAATCCAGTCTAAAAAATAAGATTAAATAAAATTTTTTAAATCTTTTATTTCTTAAAGTAGAATTTGTATCACTGAATCAGCTTTATTAACTCAAAATTTCAAATAACAATCTATAATCAATTTTGAAGTACATATTAATTAAAAAGAATTTGAAGTAAAACATAAGTTTATATAATACCTACCTCCATTACCAGAAAGACAGAGTTGGGTAATTCCTGAAAAGTAAACATTAAATATTAAGTATCATTTAGAGAAAAAAAAATAGGTGGAAAATCTTAAAATGTCTATGAAAGTACACTTGTTCACTATTAAGCAATAAAATCACAAAATCCATTAAAGAAATTTAAAGTCCCCAACACAATGATTTAAGCATTCCAGCTTGAAAGCCTAATCAAGTTTTGATGACATTAATAAAGTCATCAAGAGCTTCAATCCTATTTATGGAGACATCTATCTTTTGGCTAAAGTTATGGCAAAATTACCTCTTGCACAAAAAAAAGGCATTTCTGGTTCTCTGAGAAGCACTTCCACTTTGAGAAGTTTATGACTTCATAATCCACCCTACTAATGCTGAATGTGTAGTCTGATTTCTGGAATGTATTGCCCCAGAGGCTTAGTTTTTCTGTTTATCTGGTTTTTATGTTTAAGATTGTTGGCAAAGGGAAGCCATTTCATCTCATCTTGGAAATCAAATGATTTTGAGGAATCGTGACAATCTTACTAAGTCTTAAATCAAAGCCCTTCAGGTAGGTTGTTCAGGTAAGTTATTCAAAGACTGACTGCTTGTTTCTTCAATAACAAATTAATTAAATTTTAAATTGAGCTTTTTAGCAACTCAGTATGAGCCAGTGTTCAAATGTGATTCCAGATATAGCTTCTATGTGGTTGCCCCAACAGGCTGAATTCAACAATAAGGTATTTCATGGGAAAACAAAAGGAGGATAGGGGAGAAAGGGAGCAGGTCTAGAACAATATTCCAGAGTATTTCATGGGAAAACAAAAGGAGGATAGGGGAGAAAGGGAGCAGGTCTAGAACAATATTCCAGAGTATTCAAGGACTAGTGTCGATCGGTGAGTTATTTGGTTCTAGTTCAGAAAAAATAATTACATAAATAAAGAGTAAGAATGGTAAAAAGCTCAAAGTAACAACAAAATATTCTGATGTCTATTGAACTTAATAATAAAAAGTTTTGACATCTGTTTACAGGTCTTTTTAAATTTCAATATAAAGTAATTCATTTTTATTGGATTTCATCAAAGTATCAGTTCACACAGGTTAGAAATAAAAACTGGTTATCTCTCAGCAACTAGCACTATTTCTGTACAACACGGAGCAATACAAAAGGCTGCCACAAAGTGATTTCAACCATTTCAATAAGGGTCTAGATGCCACAAGTGAAAACCTGAATTAAATTATGTCCTGCAAGAAACTCAGGGGCTTACGATGATTTAAAACATTAAAACATGCTGTGCCCAATTCTTTGATTGACTCCTTTCCCCTAAGAGGTATCCGGAGATTCAGAAGACCAACACCTATCCTTATATTCTCAGATATCATAAGTTTTAACAAAGTTCCTTTTCAAGTGTGAAATACAAAAATATGATTTCAAATCAACATTGTTTGATCATATAGTAGCACTATATCCTAACTACTGATGACTGAAGAGAAAAAAGGGGGGAGATTAAGCAGTCATGAACTAAAGTTCACACAATATTAAAAGCTTAAATTCTCATTTTCATATTCAATATTTTAGGGGTACATATAACTAATTAGCTTTCTCTAAGTGGTTTCTGTCAATAATTATTAAGATAAATATTTAACAATCTTGAGGTCTCATGCAAACGTTCTCTTGTCTACCTTTAATGCAGTGAAAATCTCCACAGATCATTCGCTTTAACATCCCCTTTCAGGTTCCCTTTATAAAATACTGAACAACTTTTAAATGACATACTTATTTAAAAGTGTACATTTTTAACAAAAGCATCTATAGACAAATTAAAACTCAAATGGTACTGGTCATCAGGGAAGAATTTGAAGAGATGTATGTAGCATCTGAAAGGCCAAGAAATGTGGCCAATATACCTGTGAGCCAGACCACCGAGAGCTTTCCAAAACTGAGTGCATTTAACTCTTGCCCTAATATCAAGAAATCCCAATTGGCATCTCCTCCCAGGCACTTCCATCAACAAAATTAAACAATGAATTTCACTGTATCATTTCCTCCTCAAGACTCCTTTGTTCAGGTAAAAAACCAATCACTAAAAAAAAAAAAAAAAAAAAAGCGAGGGGAAGTATTATTGTTACGAACAAATCTATTCTAGTATGTGGAAATTAAATGAACAAATTGAAAAACTTGAGGAAAATGCAACTTAATAAACTCAAATAAAAATGCAAAATGTTAAAAGATCCATTTCTATTAAAGAAATTGAATTATAATGTAAAACCTTCACACAAAGAAATTTTCCATAAATTTCTGCATGATAATTATATTCATGTGGAGCATCTCTACCTCCACCTGCCTTCTCCCACAAACCATTTCCAGTGAGAAAAAAAAATCACCTGTCTGATATTCAAAACCTCCACTCTCAATCCTTTTGCTGATGTAATCATGATGACCTGCTTCCTGCTGGCACTGAGAAATTTTTTTCCATAAAAGAATTGAAAAAGGGCCCTCTCTGGTGGTGCACAGCACTACAAAACCAGCTGCAGCCACTTCAGTTCAAGCTCGATCCCTGGCCAGAGAGGTGACACACATGGCACATCATACCTCTCCTGTCTCGCTCACTGCTCCCCCTCAGCAGTATACTTCATTGATCTGCCTGTTCTACTCCCCACTCTGTCTCTGGTAAATCCGCTCACTGGCCCTGCACCTCTGACCTGTACACCAATTCTGTATGCATAAATACATAAATCTTTCAGAAAAATAAAAGAGAGAAAGAATTCAAAAAAACAGCAGGAAAGACCCTTACTACTGTCCAAGAGATCACTCATAATAAGAAAATTAGTGAAAGTTTTTAGCCATTGAGCATCAGAATAGGGAGAAGTAATTCAACTACACAGTGACTAATGCAAGAATATATGCCATTCCTTGTAGAAAATGGGTTGGCTAAGGATGACCATAAGCTGAAGGCTTATGGATTTTAACTGTTTTAACTCAGTGAAGCTTAGGTGAGGGTTTATTGCAATGAGTAGAATTTCCATTCTGTCCCTTGATACAAGTTTTTATAAGGTAACCAACATTTGGGTTCTGTATTTAACTTGACTAGAGGAACTCCTTCATGAAATAAACTGAAAGAACCACCACCAAATGTTGGATGTGGAAATGCAGAAGTCCAAGAGTAACTAAATATAATATAAAAGAAAAGGTTTATATTACAAGGTATCAAGACAATATAGAACTATAATGAATAAGATAGTGAAGTAAAGACTAAGGGGACAGAAAAGAAACCCACACAAAAGTATTCACTAATTAATGACAAAGTAAATTAAACACTACACTACAAAAGTGAAAGGAAGAGCTGAATACATAATAAAAGATCAATTCACTACCCTTTATAAAAGTAAATGAATCCTGAACTTTACCCCTCAAATCACATACAAAAATCATTTCTAGGTAAATACACATCTAAATGTGAAAGACAGAACAATAAAGCCTAGTGAGGGGTTGGGGAACAGGAAAGCTACATTATCTTAAAGACCCTGGCAAAGTTAAGTTTTCGTTAATGACACAAAAACACTAAATATAAAAAAAACAATAAACTGGAATACAATGAAATTAAAGATCTCTGTTCATCTAAATAAGCCATTAAAATAGTAAATAGGAAAGTTACAGTGTGGGATAAATCATTTGTAACACATATCTGGCAAAGAACTCATATGCATATTATATAAAGAACTCCCAAGAAATTCATGACAAAAAGACAACCCAAGGAAAAAACAGGTAAGAGACTGACATAGAGATGTTTAAAAGATAATTAAATGACTAATAAACTTACAAAAAATGTTCCTATCAGTCATCAGGAAATGGTAATTAAAATCATGGTAAGCTAACTTAATCCATATTCTTGGATAGCTAAAACTGCCTAGTATAGGCAAGGATGTAGAGCCCATGGACCAGTCAAACACTTCCTGCTGGAAGAGTAGACCAAAACACCAGCAGTATTGACTACTGCATACCTTGTAATGTAGAAATTTCTTTTTGACATTATCCCTGAAGAGAGCTATTTCAATAGGTAGGAATGGTGAGAGAAGAGAAACCATAGTAACAAGTCATTCTTACTGCCTATTAAAAGGAGGCACTAGAGTGAGAGTAATATAAAATAAAAGTAATGAGGAGGTCCTGAGTTAGAAAGATGTACAATACAGGTCCAATCAAAACAAAAAAGTGCATTTGTTTTCAAAAAGGTTTGAATGCATGCATACATGAATATGTTCATTAAATAGCAGATAAATATGTGGTATAAAACAGTGGATAAATATATACATGATGGAATACTTTACAACTATTTAAAAAGACATGAATTTCCACTTGCAACAACATGGATATAATTGGAAAGATTTATCATAAATAAGTCAAAAGAAGAAAAATAAATACTGAATGATTTCACTTATTTGTGGAATACAGAAAAACAAAACAAAACAAAGGAACTGATAAAACTAAACCAAAATAAACCCTAGAAATATGACTGCAGAGCTGAACTACCAGATAGGGAGGGAGACTGTAAATGAGAACAAAGGGAGAAGGCTTTAGTGGTAGTTGTGGTGTGGTAACATATCTGAAGAAGTATGAACCAAAATGTACTGTTGTAAAGCCATATAACCACAGTAAAAAAAATAAAAAGGAAAACAGAATTTAAAAGCCTTGGAAGACAAAGATTTCTTCTAAAAAAGAAATATCAGGAGAGGTTATCTCTTTTTATTTTACATACTGCTATAACACTTAAATTGCTTTTCCACTAAGAGCACATCTTTTGTAATTTTAACAGTAATAGAATCATTATGTTTTACATCTGAAATTAATGTTATATAAATTATACCTCAATTTAAAAAATTTAATAAAATATTCAAAGAAACATTCCCTGGCTCTTAATACCCATCTCTCACATTTCTCTATATATTTCCCAATTCTTACCCCACCCTGAGGTGACCTCCTAGGTTTGAACTATCCATCTATACCCCAGAGGTAAAACTGATAGGTCATTTCACAGAAGAGGAAAGAAACCCCATTCCTGTAATCTTCAGTTTTATTCCTGCAGAGGTTATCTGAAAGTCAAATAGACCCATAGCATCCTATGTGTAAATGGGACTGGATTATCATCTTCACTTTATTGAGGGGGTGGTGTTGACAAGAAAAAATAAGCAGTGTGACTGATATCCTAAACTGTGTTTGGTATTTTTAAAAAGATAGCAATCCTGAAATAGTCACTTGTGCTAAGTCCCAATCCAGCAAACCAAAAACTAATATTTCAACATCTCCCAGAAATGTAACCTTTAACCAGTGAACTAAAATTTCCTGGGTAACACTAAAGAGGTAATCTGCCTGACAGATCCCTACCATCCACCAAAGGAAAGTGGCCTTGCCTGAAACCATCTTCTCTGCCCTTATCTCTTTTTCTGCCTATTTAAACCTTTCGTTCTGCACAACTCCTTGGAATTCCTTTCTCCTTGTTAGATAGGATGCTACTCAATTTATGAATTATTAAATAAATCAATTTTATTTAACATCTTTAAATTTAATTTTTATTTTTAACAATATAAAACAGTACTTTGAAGAACAATAAACTATTGTCATTCAAGATTCTTCCTCTTAGATCATGTTCTAAAAAGCTAAGGCACAAAATAAAATTATAAGAGCAAATTCTACTTTACTTACTGATCTGACATACACATAAACACATTTATAGAAAAAGATTTTCCTTAATTTCTACCTCAATAACACTAATTACATTAAAAGTTTCAAATATGTTGTGACTCCTAACAACTGATCTTTGTCGAGTTCCTAAAACCCTTATAATTTCCCAGTGGTGAGAAAGATCAAGGTGTCATTGGTTATGTCCAATGAGACAACATGTGGGAGCCCTTAGCTAACCTAAGAATGAGGTTGGATTTTTCAGTTCCACCCCGCTACACACCTCTAGGGAGGAGAGAGGGCTGGAAACTGAGGCCAAGCATAGATGGTCAATGATTTAATCAAGTTACCTGTATAACAGGGCCTCCACAAAACACAAAAGGATGGGGGCGGGGGAGTTATTTGAAGAATTTCCAGGCTGCTGAACACATGGAGATCTGGGTATAAAAGGCACAGAAGTTCTGTATAACCCACCCACTTTGCCCTATGTAGCATGTCTACCTGGCTGCTCCAAAGTTATATATTTTTATAATATACAAATAATTTAGTAAGTAAAATGCTTCTCTCAGTTCTATCAGCTGCTCTAGCAAACTGATCAATACAAGGGGGTTAGTGGTACCTTGCTATATAGCCAGTTAGTCAGATGCATAGGTGACAATTTGGACTTGTGACTGAAATCTGAGGGGATCTAATAGAAATCTGAGGTTAACTTCACATAGAATGATTGCTTAGTGGTTCTAGCAAAAACACATTGGAACTCAACAATGATCTCAATTAAATTTATATATTCAAGGCCCTCACTGGTGACACAGTGGGTTAGGACGCAGCACTGCAAGCCAGCCCAGCAGCTTCAGTGTGAGTTCGATCTCCCGCCCGGAGGTGATCCACATGGTGCAGCAGACCTCTCCTGTCTCTCCCACTGCTCCCCTCAGTTGTGTACTTCATCGATCTGCCTGTTCTGCTCCCCACTCTGTCTCTGGTGAATCCTCTCACCACCCCTGCACATCTGGTCTATACCCCAGTTCTGTATGCACAAATAGATCTTTTTTAAAAAATTAATAAAAAATGTATCTATTCATAACTAAGTATCCATATAATCCAAGTCTGACTTGCCCATAATTTTTCAAATTGCCTAAATCCAAGCTCTTTTTAATGGATCCGCAGAAGGTATTATCCTCTTCAGTTATATTCAAAACAGGCAAAAATTCAGAATGAAGATTGTCAAAGCAATAATAATTTAAAATATTAAAAATAAACCAAAGTCTTTCTTGCCCATGAGATTGGCCGGAGGCAGAAAAAAAAAACAGATCATTAATGAACAAAATAGATCTGTACAATCTTTAGGAAAACAGCATGGCAATACCTTTGACTAAGCAACGCCATGTCAAGGAATCTATTCTATAGCAACTCTCAGACAAATAATCAAGTATTTATATATACCGCTTTCTCTGCAATATTGTTATACTGACATGAAAAGGTATCCAAGGAATATTAAGTTTATGAAAACAATTTCCTTTTATCTAAAAATACTGAGTCCTCCACATTGAAAAGTTCAAAGAGTATAAAGTATACTCTTTTTTATATAGTATAAAAAGACTATGCTCATGTATGACTATACTCATGTATGTATTTAGGAAACTAAAAGAAATGTAACAAACAGTGGATCTAACTGGGACTTGCCATTTCATATCTTCTCTAATTCTTTTTGACAATGTTTTATTTATTATTTTAACTACAGGCATATATTACTTTTGTGATTAGAGAAAATGTATTTCTAAGTGTCACCTAAACTGAAACCTGATTTTTATGTCAAAAGTTCTTTTAAAGGTGAACATAGACTGTAGATGGATGTTCAAAACTGACAACCAGTAAAACTGGTGCTAAAGTTTATAGATTTACTATGCCAACCTCCACATCATGCCCTTTGATAAACAGAATCAAGGAAGCAAATCTAAAATATTAGATCACAATTCTATTTACTTGATAGCCAACTACTCAGACTAGATTCAGTTGATTGAAATTTCTTGAGTTTATTTGTATAAATTAGTTTCAGTACACAATGTAGACAATAATTAACATCTTAATGCAGTCACCTTGAAATCTGTTTGATAATGAATACACATTCCCTTTAGTGTATCTGATTCTACAACCAAAGCTCATATGTAAAAGTATTTTGCAGGGTCCTTCCTGGTGGCATAAAGGGTTAATATATAACACTATGAAGCTATCCACAGCCATTGCAGCAAGAGTTCCATCCCCAGCCTGGGAGGTGATCCGCATGATGCAGCAGACCTCTCCAGTTTTACCCACTGCTCCCTTCAGCAGTATATTTCAGCTGATCTGCCAGTTCTGCTCCCCACTGTTGTTTCTGGTGAATCCTTCCCCCCCACCCCCACACACATCTCTGGCCTACATTCCAGCTCTTTACGTATGCATAAATAAATCTTTTTTTTTTTAATTATTTTTCATTTGGTAGCCAAACCTACTCTTGAAAGCAAACCTATTCTGCAATTGACAGGGTTTCCTGTACCTCTCAAAAAATGAGAAGTTAAGAGTTAATATCATTTAATAAATTTTGTACCAGGCACTGACTTATAGCACTTGGTGCCCTCTATCTAGAGACTAAGATAAACTACACAAACAGTTCTGAGACAACTGACATTTCGAATAGGGACTGTGAAATAAGTTTAATTTTAACTGTAGAATTTTCCCCCTTTCATGCTTCTTTTAATGTCTCAAATGAAGGTATGAATGACCCTATTTAAACAGATAATAAAAGACAACTCATAGGACTAGCATATTTTGTGAGTGGAGTTTAAATTGTAATTTTGGGGGAGAACATATCACACTCTACAATCAAAAACACTAAAACTGAACATGCTATTTAACCTGAAAATTCCAATTCTAGAAACTGAATTTAAAAGACATAATCAAAGATATGTTCAGAAAGTATGTATTACCTGCACGGAATTTGTTTTATTCATGCGTTATCCCTAGCACTTAGCAATGCTTGGCACATAGTAGCCGTACTCAAAACCTTATGAAATGAATGAGTTTGAGCAATGCAAGTACATATAGAAAAGGTTTTTTTTGTTTGTTTTTTTTTAAGATTTATTTATTTATTCATACAGAACTGGGGTACAGGCCAGAGGCTCAGGGGCGGTGAGAGGCTTCACCAGAGACAGAGTGGGGAACAGAACAGGCAGATCGATGAAGTACACTGCTGAGAGGAGCAGCGGGCGGGTCAGGAGAGGTCTGCCACACCATGTGGTCACCTCCGGGGCAGGCGGGAATCAAACTCATGAGGAAGTGGCTTTAGCTTCTCAGTGCTGTGTTTTAACCCGCTGCACCACCAGGGAGGGCCTAGAAAAGGTTTTTTTAAAAAAAGATTTTAGGGCCCTCCCTGGTGGCACAGCAGGGGCGAAGCTGACCACAACCACTTTGGTGTGAGTTTGAACCCTGCCAGGGAGATGATCCACCTGAAGAAGCAGACCCCCTGTCTCACCTGCTCCTCCCCTCAGCAGTGTACTTCATTAATCTGCCTGTTTTGCTCCCCACTCTGACTCTGGTAATTCCTCTCAAGTCCCCTGGCCTGTTCCCCAGTTCTGTATGCATAAATAAATTTTTAAAAAGTTTTAGCTGTATGCACATACATATATACTTTATATACATAGGAAAGCGACAGAATGTATATCCATTAGCTTTATAGAAATTCAACTTCAGATTAAGGAAAACAAAAAAAGGAAATACTATAAATCTTGTACCAGGTCTGTTCTGAGTGGGGTTAGGTTTAGATATACATATGAATGGTCAATATGCATAGTTCCCTAGTTTTTAATTTAGTGACTAATAACTCTACAATAAATGTAACAGACATACATTTTTTAAAAATACAAAATAAAGTACCTGAACGTCATAGAGTGCAACAATATTTTCATGCTGAAGTTCCTGTTAAGGAAATTAAGAATTAAAAAATTTGTACTTATTATAATATTTATTTCAGCATACAAATAAAAATTTGAGTACATACAAACACATGATTTCTAGTATATTACTATTACTAGACAGTAATATAGTACTATTACTAATCCACAGTCTATTATGGAATATGGTATGTGCCAAATCAAACTTTACTTGGGGTCTAAATTTCAATACCATCATTTTAGAATCTTAGCAGGATGAGTACTTTCATTTACAAAATAAATGTCATAAATATGTTAACAGATTTTTCTGCTAGCCTTCTAAATTTAATGTAATCTCTAATAGCAAAAGAAGCATGGTATTTCAAAGGCTTTTAGAAAATATATTATTTCACTGAGAGAAAATGAAGTATAATTCTTAACTCAAAAAATTATACTTGTGGGTCTCTTTGGTGATGCAGCATTAAGTCTCAGTGCTACCAAGCTATTTGCAGCCAACTGCAGCATGAGTTTGATCTCCAGCCAGGGAGCTGACCCACATGGCACAGAAGACGTCCCCTGTCTCACCCAGTGCTCCCCTCAGCAGTGTATTTCAGTCAATCTGCCTGTTCTGCTCCCCACTCTGTCTCTGGTGATTCCTCTCACCACCTGCACCTCTGGCCTACACTCCAGTTTTTGTATGCATAAATAAATAAAATAACCTTTAAAAAATTTATTATACTTAAGAGCTCTCCACCAAATATTTATTAAAGTTAGTTTTACAAGAGGATTTCATAACCCCATCAGTTTGGGAAACAAGGGGTTAAATACACCCAAACCCTTTTCTTCACTTCCTAACATCAGTTTTTAATGACCAAAGGACTCTGTGACTCTCTAAGAAGTATTTAGTAAATAGGAAATAGGACTTTCCACCCTTATTTGACCATTACCCTTTTTATTCCTCAAAGCATCTCACTTGAATAATGCTGCTAGTGATCTTTCCTTCTGAAGAAAACAAATTCTTCAAATTAACAAGAAAAAGATTCCCAGATCCCCCAACTGTAATGTAAAAGGGGTCAACAAGTGGCAAATAATATATGAGAGACCTGACTCAGTGACTAAGGAAAAGAAGGAATTATGAGATCCTGAAATCAGTTTTCATAGAATCCTCCCAAACATGGCCAACATCCAGAAACATCTATTCTTAAAAACAACTTCCGAGTACTCAATGTTTCAAAACACTGAGCATGCAAAATTGAGAGCAACAGGTGAAAATTCTCAAACTTTTGAGAATTTTTTTTTTTTTTTTGCAAAGAATCATCACATAAGCTTTAGTCTAGGTTTAGCCTTATATGAAATACCACAGGAAAAAAACATACCTTTAAGATTTTAATCTCCTTCCCAAGCAGTATTTGTGATTTTGACAAGTTCTTTTTATTAATACTTTTAATAGCTACCTCCCAGTCAGTTTTCTGGAAAGGAAAAAGAATGTTATTCCTGTAAACTAGTCCACAGAAATAGTCCACAGGGGGGAAAAAAAATCTGTAAGCACCAAGGCCTTTTAGTAAATCCATATGGAAAAGAATATGCATCCCCAAAAGAACGGTATTTCATAAATCACAATTAACAAATCATCACACAGTCACTAAAAATATGAAAACCACACAGTAACTAGCAGTAAGTGAAAAAGAACAATTTACCACTACTTGTTACAAGAAATGTGGAAAATAAACCGAAAGGGAGAATGGTTAACTGAAAACTAACTTAACAGGCTGGCAGAATTAAATCTTGTTTTAATTACTTTATTTTCGAGTTGTAAGTTATTTTAATACATTAGAATACTTCATCTGATAAGTAAGGCCAGCCGACTTTTAACATGCTTCTTGACAACAATCCAAACTGCCAAACCCTTCATTTCCACTCCAGAGGTTCCTTTCCAAATTCTTTAGATTCTGAAACCCCGTGTGAAAAACAGAAAAAAAGAAGAAAAAAAAAAAACTTTAGAAAAAGGGGGTGGGGGAGCTGAACACGCTTTCTTGTTTATTTGGATTAAAAAATGGGAGCGTCCAACCATCTTTTCCTCTCCGAGCCGGTCTTCCAAGAAAGGGAAGATGGGGACGCGGCTCATCCGGGTGTCGGAAAAGCAAAGCTGGGAAACGTGACACCCCAGAGTTTGAGAAAGCCTCGGGCTAACGGGAAAGCAGCCCATTTTCCGCTGGGTCCGCAATAATCGACCTCAAAGGTGACGAACCCCGGCCGCCCAGGCGAAAGGAGGGTGGGGTGAGGGTGGGACACCAAACACCGGTCTACGCCCGAGCTCGGAGCTGCGCTGGGGGTTGCAGCCCTTTGGGAAAATTTAGGGTACGTTCAAGTTTTTAGGCTTCTCCGGGCCGGAGGGGGTCGAGCCGCTCACAGCACTTTGCGATCCGGCTCCCAGACACCGACGGGAAATCAGAGGCCCGGCTGCCCATCCG